CCTCTAGTCCTTCTTATCTCTAGACTAGCCATACCCAATTCCTGCAACTGTTCTTCATATATTTTTGATTATAAGTTTCATTATTTCATTACTTGATTATAAGTTTCATCATTATTAAGATTATAAGTTTCATTATTTCATTACTTGATTATAAGTTTCACCTTAATTAAGATTATAACTATCATTATTTTAAGGGGGCGGGCTTTACTCTGATGAATACCAAGGATGTTATGAACGGGGATATTTCAGTATCCTTAGAAAAGGAGATAGGAAGTTATTTTCACATCTCTCCAATTTAGAAAAGAAAAGAAACCTGAAGGCAACATCTTTTCACCCCATGCACATGCTTAACCCATGGGCTTCATTTAATATTTTATGATATTTATAAAATGTGAAACTGAATTGGATGGCTAGTGCTGAAACCCCCAGTGAATCTGGGTTTGGTTTAATTCAACTTTAAAATAACTGAAATAATTCGGCTTAATTCAACTTTGTAAATTACAGATAGGCCTTGACTTGCAAACATTCGTTTAGTGACTGTTTGAAATTATAACAACCCTAAATAAAGTGGCTTATGACTGCATTTCACACTTATGACCATAGCAGCATCACTGCTCATGTGATCAAAATTCAGATGCTTGGCAACTGTCTTGTGTTTACGATGGTTGCAGTGTCCTGGGGTCATGTGATCACCTTTTGCAACTTTCTGACAAGCAAAGTCAATGGGGAAGTCAGATGCACTTAACTGCATGATTCCCTTAACAACTGGAGGCAAAAATAACATAAAATGGAGTACAACTCACTCAAGAACTGTCTTACGTAGCGACCTTTCATGTTCTATGTTCTGTCCTTCCTGAGCAAAATATCTTTTCACGGTCATAGTGTGAGTGGGAAAATGTGATATTAGGAAGGAAGGTGCATGCACAGAACAAGTTCTATTCCATTTCCTTTGTCCTTTCAGCTTCATTATCTCCAAAGATTCTTTCACTTCCCTTCCTTTCTCTTAATTAATTTAATTACTAAACAACAGATTGACTTTTCTTCTGCTGGCACCAGAATTACTTCCCTTTTCCTTATGTATTCCATCTTTGCACTTCAGTGTTTTTGTTACTGTGATTTTTCTACATTTTCACCTGATTTCCACCCTCAATTCTGCCACTTGCACTTCACTCTGTAAAAATATCTCCATTGTGTCCTATCATTCCAACTTCTGGGCTCATGCTATGGAAACCACGTCAAGATGTAGTTTTCCATTGCAGAGGACGGACAACGTAACTTTCCCACAAATAACTCTTACTAGTGAGGAAGACATAAATCTATTTTGTGACAGGCCAAATCCAGAAGAATTTGAGGCTGTTTTTATTATTTTGTCTTTCTTAGAGACACATCTACATATGCACTAGTAACTCTGAAGAAGAACATTTCAGCCCAAATCTGATTCAGTTATATCCCCTCATAAGAATGACTTCATATGAGAATCAGTACAGTCACGGGTGTCAAACTCACAGCATCCCATTGCCATCATGTGACCTATCATGACAGTTTTTCCCTTCACAGAGTTGGGGTGCGCATGGCCTACATGTGATACATCCAGCCTGCGGGCCGCCTATGCTGTTTTTTTGCCCCTTCCATTCAACCAGGTGCAAGCGTGAGAGACTGCCTAAACAGGTCCTTGCAGTTTTCTTGGCAAAGTATTTTTAGAAGTGGTTTGCCATTGTGTCCTTCCTAAGGCTGAGAGAAAAGGACTAGCTCGAAGTCACCCAGATGGCGTTGTGTAGGAGTAGAACTCATGATCTCCCAGTTTCTAGCCTGATGCCTTATCCATTTTAGCAAACTGCCTTTCTATGATATGCTACTTTATGCTCTATTACAATATCAACTTAAACTTAAACCTGCTTTCTATTACACAGACTCCCTCATATCCAAACAGGAAACTAGTACTGAGCTGAAAGAAAGTTTAGTGAAACTGCCCAGAGGTAAAATAAAGGTGGAGACAATAAAACAAATGCAAAAGATCATACAAGAGCAGATTAATGTTTATTTTAGCAAAGTCTAGCATAGCAAGTACAGTATATTTCTTCTGTGTTACAGACAGTACAATGCCAGTCTGGCCTGAGAAGGTTTCCTTGAGTTATGTATAATAACAATGGCTAGCATTAAAATTCACATATGCCATAAACAATGATTCATAACCATATTGGCTGCATATTGATTAACATATAAAGCCAGTCCAAAGAAATTATATCATCACAGACTCCCATTCCTAATGATTGTAACTTAGGACTGTCGAACTCAGGGCTGTCAAAAATGTGTCACACACTGGCCACGCCCACACCTGGTTCAGCGAAGGGGAAAGAGTCCTGATACGTCACGTGATGCCCCCATGACGACATGTGTTTGATACCTCTGTCGTAGCTGAAATAATGAAAACTGTGTTGTGACGTCACAGCACAAGCTCTTGTATCTCCATCATGAGTTCCTAAGTAAATCTATAAAGACAGAGTTTGCATGGAAAGAAATGTTTTGTAACTGAGCCCCTCCCACTTATTCATATTCATATTATATTCATATAATATAACTTAGCATGATAGATAAATGCAGCCACAATATAGCATTTTGATAAGTTAGTGGATCATAGCAACCATTTGTAACATGGGAATAACAACACATTACAGAATATGTCATGCAAAAATAAATACAAATTAAAAATTGGATAACATGATAAATGGGTTGGGAAACTCATGAAAGTCACAATATCCACTAAACATACTTTTTTTAAAAAAAGCCCATGTTTTTGTTCAATTAGCTTGCTGTAATGTTTGGATAATTACTGCATCTTGTATATTTGGTAGAGGTCTATCATGCAACATCTTTCCTTATATGCACATTATTTTAAGCCCTTCTTTTTGGTTACTTTGCAATAAATACAGTATTTAGTCATCTGTCTATTGATAATAGCTCTTTTTTCCTTCACTGATCCAGAATTTGTTCTCTAAAACCTTTACGTTCATTACTATCTAATCTTTACTTGACTTTCCCATCATTTATTGTTAGCAGAGGCATTGACTGAATGAGGTATTTTATCATTCAACAGGAAGGAAAATTAAACCTAACTTGTAAAATAATTGAGATATACTGCTTCGTAGAACTAGTATAAAATCTTGTTAAACTGCTTGTGCTTCCTTCCTTTATTCTCTGTTCCGGTGTTTGTCAACTTTGGCAGCTTTTAAGATGGGTGGACTTCAACTCCCAAGATTCCCCAGGCAGTGCTTATTAGGGAATCTTGGGAGTTGAGGTCCACATAAATTAAAAGTTGTCCCAATTGAAAAACACTGCTTTCTGTTCAGAGTTTATGTTTCTATGATGCTGCTCCTTAACTTGATTGGATTAGTTTCCTATATTTTGGGAAGCCTGTCATTATATTTAGGAAACCATGGCTTGTGCTGTGTGACATGTAAGAACCTAACCAATTGTGGCAAACTAGCCATGGAATTGGAAGTTTATTCTTGGATATGTATTTTAAACTGAAATCTGATTTTAATTCCTGCAATTCTGGAAGATTGATCATCTGAACCATTAATACAGGAACTTTTCCTACATCTGGTGAACTGCTAGATGGGAAGACTGCAACCCAAGAGAACTGGAGGGCACCAGAATGAGACAAGCTGTGTCACATCAGAATAGAATAGAATAGAATAGAATAGAATTCTTTATTGACCAAGTGTGATTGGGCACAAAAAAGAATTTGTTTTGGTGTATATACTCTTAGTGAACATAAAAGAAAAGATACATTTGTCAAAGAGTCAAGAATCATAAGCTACATCACTTAATAATAGTCATAGGGTACAATAAGCAATCAAATCATACTAGGAAACAGTCAATAAAAATCGTTAGGATACAAGCAACAAGGTTACAGTCATACAATCATAAGTAGGAGGAGATGGGTGAAAGGAAGGATGAGAGGATTAGTAGTAATAGTAATGCAGACTTTGTAAATAGTGGGACAGCGTTGAGGGAATTATTTGTTTAGCAGAGTGATGGCTTTCAGGGAAAAAACTGTCCTTGTGTCTAGTTGTTCTGGTGTGCAGTGTGCTTTGTAGCATCGTTTTGAGGGAAGGAGTTGAAACAGTTTATGTCCGGGATGTGAGGGGTCTGTAAATATTTTCACAGTACTCTCTTTGACTCGTGCAGTATACAGGTCCTCAATGGAAGGCAAGTAATTGTTTTTTCTGCAGTCCTAATTACTCTCTGGAGTCTGTGTCTGCCCTGTTGAGTTACAGAGCCAAACCAGACAGTTATAGAAGTGCAGATGACAGACTCAATCCTTCCTCTGAAGAACTGTTTCAGCAGCTCCTTGGACAGTTTGAGCTTTCTGAGTTAGCGTGACTTACAACAATGCATCACTGCCCTGACTTAACCAACATAGCGTGTTTTAAAATAAAGTTTCGTCGATGGCCCCAGTTAAAAACAGCGGCTCCTTTCCATCGGCCGGCCTTCGGATAACTTCGCCAGCCAGCCTCCCTTTGTCTCCGGCAGGGTCGCAAGGAGGGCAAGAAGAGAGGGTGGGGGTGGGGGGAAATCGACGCTTTTGAGTGTGTGGGCTCCCCCCTAAGAGAGCTCCGTGCTTTTTGCAGTCTCGGCCGCTTCCAAAAATCCCGGTCAACTTCGATTGCCTTTTTGCAAATAAGGAGAGCGGGACTTTGGGCTGAAAAAGCCACAACGGGGAGCCTCAGCCCGCAACGCTTCTCTCCCCTTGCCGGGACTGAGCGAGAAGAAGCGACGGAAAGCGAAAGGGGAGAAACTTCGCGGCAGCCCGATAAGTAATACTAGCCAAGTCCCTGTCCTCATGAGCAACTCGGTCCCTCTCCCCCGCCCGCCCCCCCTCCGCCACAAGCGCTCTGCACGCCTTGCACCCTCCTCTCCGCTCCAGTGTGCCTGAAGGGCTTCTCCACCCTCTGTTCCGGTTGCTGCCATAGTGATGCGTGGAAGCAGATTAGCCTCCGCTACCCAGGGGAGGGGAAAAGACGCCGCCGCTGCAGCAGCAGCAGCAGCAGCCAGAAAGGGAGGCTTCTCTTCTTCCTCCCGCGTCCATGTAGAAGCATTTAGGGGACCCTCTCCGGGCGATTGCTGCTTCCTAGCCCGATTAGCGCATGCAGACGTTCGGTTCCCTTTTCCCAGGTAACTTGGTGCCACCATTGGTGGGAGGGAGGGAGGAGCGCTCGTGGTTAGGCTGCCCTGCTTTCTTTGTCGCTTGAGCGCACTGAGGTGGTTGCTTTTGCGCACTTTTGCGCTTTGTTTTGTACTTTAAGTATTTCTCTTCCCCCCCACCCGCCGCTTTTTAAAAAATTATTTCCTGGGATTCCTGAAAGGAGAGCCTGGGAGCCCAGCAGGTGCCGGGTTCACGAGTTGTAGAAAAGTTCAAAGCAAGAAAAAAGAAAAGGAAGGAAGGAAGGAAGGAAGGAAAAGAAAGAAAGAAAGAAAGTTGGAAGTAAAAAGAGAGAAGGGTGAGGAGGGAGACGTCATCCTTGGCTGCCAAGCGAGAAAGTGATGCACTGAAGTAACAATTTTGAGTGGCCATTGTTCCCTACTTTTCACTGTATAGTCATGCCTTCTGCTTCTAGTGGGAATAGATGGTTATTTTAGAAGTATATGTGTAAGCGGGGCGACTGCCTTCCATTATAATGTCTTGTCCTGCTGTAACTTTCTTAAACCCAATGCCCCAGATGTTTTGAACTGTGTAGCCCTAGCCATCTCCAGACAACGGATACCACGTGATTGAGGTAAACCCAGTATACTTGGAAAATACGCAAATGGGGGAAAATCTATTTCGACACTATCCAACACTAACCTTGCCTTTAATTGTTCTGGTTTTGCATGTGTCCGCTGAGAAGTTCAGAAGTAAACATCATTTCATCTGGATTTATTTCATTGTTCAGGATGGTAACTCTTAAAACAGTTGTCATGTTTTCTCCCCTCCCTTTCTAAATTTTAGAATTATCTGTACAAATTTGTGAAGTATAATTGGAGAAATGCTGATGAAAGAGTATTTGAATTTGAAGCTCCTATACGTAATCTGCAAAACAGTTCCCGCAGCATGTGAAGCAGCCCCTTGTAAATGTTTAGATTTAAGCACGTCTTGGTGGGAGTAAGAAATGTCTATAGCAGAATGGAGAGTGAAGCTGAAAAGATTTCAATAGGGCAGCAGGGCAGCAGAATTAAAGGAGGATGTTGAATATCTCTTGGAAACACACTAAGCTCTTGTCTGCTGCTGTGTAATGCCACTTTTAAAAGGAGGAAAATAGAGACTATAAGGGAAATAGTACTAGTTTAGGATGAAGTTAATTGAAACAAAACATTTCTAAGAGTGTTTATGGAGTATATATAAAAGACTGCTTATGCAACATGTTTTTGTATTTAACCAGAAATTAAAACAAGATTGGAGCACTTAATGCTGGCTTGAATGAGCAAATATTCCACTTGGAATGTTAAGAATATATTGCTTATTTATGTGGATAGGTGCTAGATGTCTCTTTCCACCCTTCTTCCTCTTTAATATTGATTTGAATTCTGGATTTCAGCGTATTGATTCCATTTGTTATTTTGATGGTACAATTTATAGCTTTCACAAATCTCAAGGATGTCCTAAAAGTGAAGGCCTAAATGTGAATAGTGTATAGTAGTTTCTGGTCCTGCAAATCTCTCCCCACTTTCATGGGTTGCTAAGAGAGCTTTTCTCTTCTAAATTAACTGAGGAAGTGTTTACAAGAATGGCTTCCACTGACTATTAGCAGATACTGTGGGTGATTTGTGTTAGAAAGACCTCGATAAAGCCTTGCATGGCTTGTATTTTGGTTTGTGCTTTGTCAGGGAATCCTGAAGAGCAGGTAAAGAGGCGGAATTGAAGCACTAGACTGGTACAAATGCAAGCAGGAAATATCATTTTGAATGAGTTCAAATCTTTAGGAGCAAAGGAATTGCATCCTAGGTTAATAGATGAACTGGCAGGTGAGTTGGCCAAATTCCAAAGGAATATTATCTTTAAGAAATCCTAGAGAACCGGTGAATATCAGATGACTGGAGAAGGACAAATGTTGTCCCTCTCTTCAAAAAAGGTAAACAAAGATTCAGGAAACTATAGATTAGTGAATCTGACCTGGATTCCTGGGAAGATTCTAGAACAGCTCATGAAGATACTGATTTGCAATCTATTTTAAAATAATGTGATAATTATCAAAAATTAGCACATTGTCAAAAACTAATCTTGGAGGGCTAACTTTTTGTGAGATTTTTTATCTATTGAACTCCTGAATGAAGTGTGGGAATGCTATAGATTTAATGTATCTTGCATTTAGCAAACACAACCATAACATGTTTCCCCCCCAAATAATTTTATTAGAGATTACCGTTAAAAAGAATAAAAACTATGCAAACTACAAAAACATAAAAGGAAAAGGAAAAATATAACATTTAAAAAATAAAATAAAAGAAACTTCCTGTCTCATCCCAACAAGTTCACACAATTCAGGAAAATCTATTGCCAACTCTTTAAGTTAAAATATATACACTGTTCACCCAATATCTCATCTTAACTAAAAACAACTTCTGTTGTTGTCATTAATTCCTTATCAGCAAATGTCTAGTAGGAGTTTTAGATATAACTATCTTAATCTCTTGATCAATTAAGCCAACTTTGTATTCCTTTCTTAAACTTTAAAAAAACATAACATAAATTCTTGACCTCTTCAAGTAGAGCCTTGCATCTTGCATACTTGTCATCTTTTTTAATCCTCCCACCTACCCAATCTTTCCAAACTTTAGCAAGTCTCTTTTTTATATCTCATAAGAGATATTCGTCCTTTTTTTGTCACTTCTCAAAAAAACCCTTCAAAACTTTAACAGATCTGTTTTGTATGTCCAGCCAAAATAAAGAGGGGTAGGAATCCACCTCTCTTCTGGTTTGTATATCTTCTTTAGGCATTAGGCATCAGGGGCTATCCTGGAGAAGTAAGTATTTGGACGGTACAGTGAGTCCAGAATGGAATGGTGCAGATAATTTTGAAGGCTTCTTGGGTGGCACATGTAACACCACTGTTACATGAGCTATCCTGGCTGTGGATCTGCTTCGAAGTGTCATTCAGGCTGTTGGTCATTACCTTTAAATACCGTGAAAGAGAAGCTGTTGGCTGGAAGTGGCTAATGTAGCTACAGAGAAGCTGCCACCACCTCAAACCTGTTCTCTTTTTAGTTTGTTTTAAGCTTTTGCAATTTTAATCTGTTTTTATATTTAAAATTATTTTTAATCCATGTTTTACTATGTTGTAAGCCACTTGGAGCCATCTTAGGTCATGAGATGAGTAATATGTTAATTTGATAAATAAATCAGAGCGCCATTCTGTTTCATTTGAAAGTTCATTATATCCTTTTCTTTATCCTTCTCATTACTTGCCACATTCATATCCATGTTCAGATTAATATCAAACTTATCTAGAGTCTTTTGTTCTTATTCCATTGCCTCCTTAACAGTCCATGTATTCGTCATTTCTGATAATGTCAATATTTTTCAAGTGTTCAATTTTTCATAAAAAAAAATCTCAGAATATTTCTCTTGTATACATTCTTTTGTTATCCTCTAGCTCTCCTCTAGTGTCCAACACTTAAAATGCCAATAGTTTGTTTGTATAAAGAAAAGGCAAACAGTGACAATTTCCCATGGGAGGAACTCTTCCAGAAGTTTAAAATTGTAATTCCAAGTCCACTTGCCTTTATTCTGTTAAACTTTGTAAAATCCATATTCCAACATCCTTTTGCTGTTTAATTTGGAAAAAATATTTTTCAAAAACTTTCGAAATCATATTTAAAAGTTATCTAAGGAGAAGGTAACTCATTTAGCAAATGCAGTATAACATATTGTTCTGAAGGGTCTTAATCTTTAAAATTGAAAAGCAAATTGAGAGTGATTAAGCAGTGAGGCTTGGTTGAGCTTAGTTCTTTAAAGGATGGCTGTGTTGATGACCATGAACAAAGATTGTTCCTCCCTTGATTTGCAGATGCTCAACCCATAAGCATGCTGTAAAATGACAGTCCTATGGCTTACGCATGAGAAGCTACTGTGTGAACCTCAGCATGAGCTATTTCAAGTTCTCCCTTACCATGGGGAAATATTTTATTTATTTTTATTTTATTTATTTGTCAAGCATGTATTAGATAACAGATATAATTAGAACTTGGTTATGATTACATGAAATGGGTATGAATAAAAGGGGACATTAGGGCAGGGACAGTAGGCACATTGGTGTGCTTATGCATGCCCTTACAGATCTCTTAGGAATGGGGTGAGGTCAATAGTAGACAGCCTGTTAAAGTTTTGGGGGTTTGGGGAAGAAACCAGAGAGTCAGGTAGTGCATTCAGGCATTGACAACTCTGTTGCTGAAGTCAGATTTTCTGCAATCGAGTTTGGAGCGGTTTACCTTAAGTTTGTATCTATTGTGTGCTCGTGTATTGTTGTGGTTGAAGCTGAAGTAGTCATTGACAGGTAGGACATTGTAGCAGATAATTTTATGTACTATGCTTAGGTCAGACTGAAGGCAGCATAGTTCTAAGTTATCTAAGCCCAAAATTTCAAGTCTGGCGGTATAAGGTATTTTGTGGCGAGCAGAAGAGTGGAGGACTCTTCTCGTGAAATATCTCCGGATTCTCTCAATTATATTAATGTCTGATATGCAGTGCGGGTTCCAGACAGATGAGCTGTATTCGAGAATTGGTCTAGCAAATGCTTTATATGGTCTAGTTAGATGTACAATATTACCAGAGAAGAAGCTACACAAGATTAGGTTAATGCTTTTTTGGTAATGTTGTTATAATGCGCTCTGGCTCTTTTATCCAGCTGTAACACTTTTCTTTTACCAAAAAAAGGGACACTAGCTACTGGTAACCATGACTTTGAACCAGAAGTCGATATCCATTACATGCTAATTAGGAAACTGGGCAAGCTGAATGGCATGATAATTAAATGGATATATAAGTGTCATGAAAAAAAAATGCTTCTTAATGGTTGTTCATCCATTTGGAAACAGGTAGCAAGTGGGGTTCAGTAGACATCATATATTCTTCAGTATTTTCTTTCATTACTTGAAGAGTTTGAGGAAATGCTTGTCAAATGTTCAGATGACATAATATTAGAAGGGAGAGTTAATAATTTACAGGAAATATGAAATTCAAAATGATCTTGATAGGTTGGAGAAATGGGCTCCGAGAGAAAAGCATTTAGGAAACCAAAATAAAATTCTCAGGTGCAGGATAGTTGATACCTGGTGTGTTAATGGTATGATATTTTTGGAATATCAGTGGTTTACAAACCGATTGGCCAAAAAGGCAAATCAAAATGTAGACTGCATCATGAAGAATTACTTTCAAAGCCCAAGAAATTCCATTTTATTCTGCCTCGGTCAGACCTGACATCCTCTGCTGGCTCTTGTTCCATAGTATGTCTCATTTTGAAAACAGTTCAGATAAATCGGGACAGGCAATAAACATAATCAGGGGTACTAGAAACCGAGTTCTCAAGAGAGAATGAAAAAGCTGCTTATGTTTAGCATTCAGAAATGGTAATTGAAGGGACTGTTCTTCCAACACCTGAAAGATTGTCACACAGAAGATTAATACATCCTGTCTCCTTCCACAATGCAGGGCAGAGAATAATGGATTTAAGTTGCAGGGAGGCAGATTCTGATTGAATAGGATGGGGTTTGACAATGGAATTATTTATCCAGAGAGGCTATTTCCCTATTTCCCTTTCATGAGATATGTTCTTGCAGATGCTAGACAGCCATCTGCTGGGATGCTTTAATTTAGATTTCTGCACTGAGTATGAGGTTGAACGCAATGGCTTAGATGATCCTTTCCATTTTTATAATTCTATTCTTTTAGGTGGAGTTCATAATTGTATTGAGTCATTACAGCTTGGTTTTTGGTTAATATAATTCAACAATCAATCATAATGGTTTGTAAACCACAAGTTATAGCTCAATATGTATGAATTTTATCAGTTGTGGGTTATTAAAATGCCCAGATTTTCATAGTGTGATTTCACATAGCTTTCCAGAATTGTGGGGAGGAGATTAAAGGTAAATATGGGACCAGCTTACTCACAAAAAAGCTTCATTCATACCCCCAGTCTTAAAATGTCTGTCCCTAGTCACACAAAATCAATTGAAAATTACATTGCTTGGATGATTGATTTGTGACTCCAGCTATTCACAAGGAGTCCAAACTCTATGACTTGCTTAGTGTGATGTCTCAAATTCAAACTGTGTATGACTTGCTTATTATGATGTATCAATCAGTAACCTGTCTGAACCAATGGAAGCTTCAAATAGATTCTGATAAAGTTATACAGTTGGTAGATTGAATTTCTATGGCTGAAAGAATTAATGTTAGAAATAACTGCCTATTACCAGGATCTAAGTCAGCAGAGTAAGTAACATCTGATAATATTCATTTAATTAATAACAAGATTACCGTAGCATCATTTTAAAAATACTTTCTCAGCTATACTAGAGGGCCTTACAAACCTTTTCTATCATACAGAGAATTGCTCTCTTCTTATGAATGGAGAAAAATCCTAAATGCTGACTTTGTTTTCTTGATGCAGGCAGTGCAGGCTACTGGAGAGCTGAATTCACCGAAAATATGTATGAAAAAGGAGCTTGAAAAATGTGCAGTTGAACAAAGGCTTCAGAATGGAGAAGATGAAGATCAAGCAGTCATGAGCCATGACTCCTCTTCTTGTACAAAAACTGAAAACATGACGAGTTGGCAGAATGGCTTGGGAAATGCCACCTCTGTTATCTGTATAGTAATGGATAATAAAGAATCAGGGAGCAATACTACCTCATTATGTCATAATGGGGGGATCAGCACAAATAACAAAAATGGAAATAACAATCAGGACGATAAAACCAGTCCTTCCAAAATAATGCATTTTTTCCCCACTCCTCGTAAGAGGTCCAGCTCCAATGTAGAGCGGCCTCGTTCAGTTATAGTTATGGGGAACTCGTCAACATGGAATGCTTTGTCTTCCCTTAGAAAAATGGGATCTTTCAAGAAGTTAAAATCATCAGTTCTCCAAGGAATTCCAGCCAAAGAAGATCCAGATAACCTAAAGGATAGCCTGTCAGAGAACCAAACCAGGAAGTACATTCCAAACAATACAACAGTGAGACTTCAGACAAACAGGTATTCTTATTCGGGGCCTTTACATGACAGTACCACAGATAACACAGTGGTTTCTGATAATTCTGATGGAGAGGAAGATTCCTTCCTGAGGAACACTCATCGATCACGCAGCATCAGGCGTGCTTATGCAACTGGCCGTATAAATTTATTAGATGGTGATAAAACCCAGGACCCTCAAAGCAATACCAAAATGGTCATGCAGGAATCCCAGATTTGTGAAATTGTAGGGAAAGATCTAGAATGTCCTAAGGTGCTCTACAGGAGGAGTAAGAGCAGCGATAATCTGAATTTTCTCAAAAAGAGCTCGTTCAAAAGGAAGTCAACCTCAAACCTCACCGACCTCAAAGCTGTAAACGAAAAGCATTTGCCACCAAGAACCATGAGTATGTCATCAACTGACTCAGACAAAGCCAACAGGAACTCAGAGCGGAAATCAAAACGTTGGAAGAGCCCAATTAGAGCGAAGGATTTTGACAGAGTTTTGAAACTTGTCAGTAACATAACTGATGGTGCTTTGAAGAAGGACTGTCCTAGGACCGATATTTCTTCCCCTGGTGAACAGAACCAAAAGACAAGACCGAACAGCAGGCTCCATGAGGACTATTCCCGCAGGGTTTCCAGCAGCACTGAGAATGAGAGGAGGAAGTGTCCGTCATCCCGGCGCCACCCAGCCTCAGCTCCTTCCAGGTACACCATCCAGTGTCCTGAGGATTACTCTGATGGTTTACCTTCTGCATTAAATGTCGATGCTACAGGCCATTGGATGTCATCCTGTGATCTTTCAGACTTGGTTTGTTCTCCACCTCCACTTCAGAACCCTGGGTCAATTCCTGATGAAGTTTTCCATGAAGATTTTGAGGGGTCAAAAAACTCCAGTCCATTTACATACAGCACTGAGCCCCCCCACCATCCTGCGAGACCCACCGTTCCCAAGCCTCAGAGTCTTAATGCTGAAAGCATCAAGTGCAACATGGATATCCATTGTCCAGACCGGTACAGTACCCTGTCGCTCAGCTCAGTGGAAAGTGAGGGAAGAGGGGAGGGGCCGTCTGCCAAGTTGGGGAAGAGTCCTGTTTGCTTCCAGGATTCTGTGCAAGCCGTATACTGCGACGATACAAATGAAGACAGTGGCATCAGCAGCCATTCTCAGCTAAGTCTGAACTTAGCTATGAGCGCTGATGAAAAGAAGGAAGAGGTAAGAAGGAAAGTAAGCACTTTTAAAAACAATCAGTAATGCTTTATATGGTCATCCTGTGGCTCAGCTGTCTTGTGCTTACCTGTATTTTACCTTTCATAGAATGCTTTCCTTTATTTATGCAGAAATAAACCCTCATGGGTAGAACTTTTGAAAAAATGAAAGTAGCACCAATTTATTTTGCTTCCCTATACATAAGAATAACAACAGTTCTAGCAGAAAGGTTGCTTATGGGCCTTTTCAAGGACAGTTTTATTGCATATCATAAGGTTAGAAGCTTGGAGCAGGTTCAAGACCAAGCAGGTCTAGTGAAAATTGCCGGATTCTTGACAGAAAACATTTAGTGTAAATTGCATGCCTGTGTTGATGGTAGTAAACTAGTAACTGATCTGGCAACCAGCCCTAAACTTGTTAAGCTTAGAAATGCACAATGTATATGTGAATATCAGTATAGCATTCATGGCATATATTGTATTTAAATGGCAATATATGTTGGTAAATGATTTTAATATGCATTGGTTAGAAGTAAGGATACCATTATTTTCTACCATCAATTTATAAAGTATCATTTGGGATGTAATGCAATTATTATGATTTTTGTAAACTGTTTCTTTTTTTTTAAACTTACATTTTGCTTATTTCTTCTCAGCAACCCCTAATCTATACAGCGTCCAATAACTCAGAATCATTAAAATGTTTAACATTTTAGGAGCTGTGGTGGCATTAAGAGCTACGGTGGTGTAGCGGTTACAATGTAGAATTGTAGACTAATTCTGCCAACTGCCAGCAGTTCGATTCTCACCAGGCTCAAGGTTAACTCAGCCTTTCATCCTTCTAAGGTTGATAAAATAAGGGCCCAGATTGTTGGGGACAACATGCTGACTCTGTAAAATTGCTTAGAGACGGCTGCAAAGCACTATGAAGCGGTATAGAAGTCTAAATGCTTTTGCTATTGCCATTTTGTATTAGCAAGAAAAGTGCTATGGTCACTGTTTCTGGCTGTACCCTGAGAACATGAGCAGTGTGTCCTGTGGTTTGGATTCCTGGCCCATCTAATCCAGGAGTCTTTCTCGCAGTAGCCACCCAACTGCACAGGAAGCCCCTGGTCTCCCAGTAGGTGGCCTTCAGAGACAATCACACTACCATCAAGGCTGATAATCATGGATCCCCATGATTTCCATGAACTGATCCAACCCTTTCTTGAACCAGCCAAGCTATATCTCATGGTAGTGAATTCCAAAATTAAATTACATGTGGTGTAAAAAGTATTTTCTTTGGCCTGTCCTGATGCTTCCAAGATTCAGTTTCATTTGGTGACCTCTAGGCCTAACATCTGGGGAAGGAGAAAATAGCTCTCCTTGTTCACTCTATCCATACTGCCTTTGCATACCCCAGTGGTATTTCCTCTCTTTTTTTTAAGACTAAAAGGACCCAAATATTGCTGCGTTTCCTCATAGGGAAAACTGCTTCACCATCTCTATCATTTTAGTTAACCTTCTGACAACCTTAATTATGTCATTATAGATTTTAATACCTAGACTTTTCTATGTCATTTGAGCATTCATTTTGATTTTTTTAAATGCAAATTTCTGTTCCTTGTGACTTTACAGAATGGCTTGAATTTTGCCTAATTAAAGTTCAGAGCCTGTGGTTGCTCAAGATTTTTATTGGAAAAGAGTAAAATATCATGTTAAAAGCATTTTACCCTTGTCTTCCAATTACTGTTGCCTTTTCAGTGTTCTTGTAAAGTTTGAAAGTTGAAGCCAGAGAGTAGAACTATGCTAAATACGAGAAATGTGTGGAAGAACAGGAAAAGGAAACTGGGTTAACAACTTGTGGCTTTTAACTTAACTCTTCTTTTTTATTTAGTTTCCTGTTTCTTAATTACCATTCTTAACTTGCAACATACGCTGACAGTCATAATGTTTCGGAGAGCTTTTAAAAGGATCCATATAGACAGGCATTTCTTTCTTTCTTTCTTTCTTTCTTTCTTTCTTTCTTTCTTTCTTTCTTTCTTTCTTTCTTTCTTTCTTTCTTTCTTTCCGTGATTATAATACAACTATAGATTTCATAAACTTCTCTACTGAATTTAACAGCTCCATCACTTGATGCAATAAAGCATATTGCAAAAGAATTATATAAGCCATTTTCTTCCATCTGTTTGTGGCTACTTCACTGAATCTCTGCTGTGCCACATTTTAGATATCATCCTACCTTGGTTATTTAGAGCAGTTACCTATAACTCTGCAAGTTTATTCTAAAATCTTTGATGTTGTTGATACATGAAAAATTTTCTGGCTTTGGCTTGTCACATCTGATTTGTTGATTTATTTTTATCCCACTTTTATTATTTTTTATAATTTACTCAAAGTGGTAAACATACCTAACCCACTTCTCCTATTTTCCACACAACAACAACCTATGAGGTGCATTGAGCTGAGAGAGGATAACTAGCCCAAATCACCCAGCTGGCTTTTATGTCACTGTACCAGTGACTCTGAACTGATAAACCAAAGACAGTAATGCAGACTTTATTTCCACAGTTGGGGGTTTCATTGTATGAAAGATAAGACCACAGAACAATACTGAAAAGTTAATGGGTAAATTTTTTGTACTGAACCTGTTTTATATATATTTATCTCCTATTCTTCTTTGGAATAAACTTGAGCAAATCGATCAAAGAGGCATAAATCAGATGGAATATTTTTTTGACATAGCAAAATGGTAGAAGAAACACTACATTAGAAGCTCTCAGGTTAGAATCCCTGGGAGTATTACTACGGAAGGATATCATTTCCATCATCCAGGTAAAAGGATACAAAGTATAGGATTTGGGAAAGTTCAACCGCTAAACCATAGTAGAACAATAGAATAAAGTTTTTAGATTATAGTATTTTGTGTTTAATACCGTTGTTACTGATTTAATGGAGAAGCCTTAGATGGAGTGAATCTTTCTCCACAGGGATTAAAAAACTGAAATGAGAGCTGAAAGATTTTGTGTTCCTAGTTTTGGCTACACTTAATGTGCTGGTGTTGATGTAGTAAAATCAGAACGTTCATAATCAGTGAATCTATAAATCCACATTTTTCATGAAACAGATGGAAAATTAAAGCCCTCCATTAATGTCATTATTTAACCTCTTTTAAAGGGAAAACTGACCCTGTTGCCTTGGGAAATCAATCTGTTTGTACTCTCAACATGCCCCCTAGTGGTACCCATGGAAGCTTCACAGGTTCAAATTTCAAAAAAATTATGATGTTCTGCCATTTAAACCTCTTAATTATCCAGAAAATCCCTTTAAATATAGCGAATGGTCAGTTAGTGTTGTTGAGAGTTCAGTGTTCCTGCAGAATTTTGCAATTCCCATTAGATTTACAGAATACTTTAGTAAGGACTTCAAAAGCACAAATAGATATAATGTTATCATAATAGCTATAAATAATTACAGGAGACTGTGAGTTCTAGTCCCACTTTAGGCATAAAGAACTGGCTGGGTGACTTTGGGCCACTCATTCTCTCCTACACCAATTCATCTCACAAAGTCGTTGTAGGAGAGATAGAAGGAAGAAGGAGCATTAGGACTGTTTGCAACCTTGAGTTATTTATAAAGTAACTCTGTAATAAAGATGGATGAAAAATCTAGTTCTCAACAAATAAAACAGCCTCTATACATGTTGATTCCTGATAACAATTTATGCTGTAAGCCAGTGTTACTGCTGCAGCATGCTGGCTTGTTTGTGGCTTGCCAAATGCTAACGATGGATGACAAAAGCAGTGTTTTGCTGCCAGCTCCTCCCCCTTTAGGGACCATGCCAGCTTATGACACGTGTAGAAAAAGCAGGTATTCGGCACTATTGCACATATAGAAGAAGCCGGGCTTGTGCTTCAGTGCTGTTTTCATCATTTTGCTCCCCCACTCCTGCGGATGCTGATTTGATAACCGAAGCTTATGATTAATAAATTTAATGAAGTTTAATATATAGAAAAATATAATCAAGTAAAGGTAAGCAAGATTCATTCAGGCCCTACAACATAATTAGTTCTGTAATGAAGCCCGTGACCTTTATTATCTAAACAATTGAGCAAATGCATTAATCATTATCCATAACAAGGATGTGGATGCCAGCTTAGTTTCCCTCTCTGTCAGCTGTTGCAGAAGGACAGCAGTAGACCTTAGTTCACAAGGTTCGGTTGTATCATCTAGATTTCACACCGTTTTAGTGTAGATAATAAACCTAATTATCACTCAACTCTTTTTTTTTTTTGTGGCTTTGAATCAGCCTTGTCTCTTGGTGACTATAATGTTTCATTTGAGAATCTGAGAGGCAGTTTGTTGTAGTGGTTAAGAAACTAGGAGACTGAGTTCTAGTCCTGCTACAGGCTTGAAGCCAGTTAAATGTTATTGGGGGAAGAAGAAAAAATAGGATCCAAGAGTGTTAGATATTTTGCTGCCCTACCTTGCCTTGAAATACTCACCCATGCATAATACAATAATAATGATCTGTGTTTATAATATGGTATTTTAGCATGGAAGAAACCAGCTTAACTTTCTAGTCCTCCTGAATTTCTCTGTGCTCAGTGGGCTGATGTTGGATCAAATATACTGTATTTTCTATTAATCCTTTCTGAAAACAAGCCACAATAGCATTTCTGCTCTTGAGAATGGTGTGCATAAGCCAGGACATGACTACCATAGAATACTGGATGTCTTGAGACAGAGGTTCCTAGAGGTTTGGGACTGCTTGTTCTCATAATTCCCAGCCACTGGGCTGCAGAGCAATGGAATTATAATTGCCAGATTGAAGAAGGCTGACTTTAGGGAATGCCAACAGTAAGCAAAGCCTATGCTACTCTCTTATCAGGATCTGTTCTGGATCTTGTTTTACCTGCTGAGTATGAAGAGTTGCGGTCCATTATATAGCAATGCTCATAAACTCTACTTGGAAAGTGTATTTTTGCAGGAAGAAAAATCAAAATCACATTTAGGGCAAAACACCTC